ACACTGGGAGACTTATGATGAGTAGATAAATAATCTGAATTTTAATTAAGTTCTTTATATACTATACAGTATTAGTAATAGTATCTAATAAGGCGCGTTTAATTATAATATCGATATACTTATGATTCATCAACCGATAGGAGTTTAAAGAAACAAATCGAGATATGTACCCCCCATCCGTCCCCCCCCCCACACACACGAGTACCCCGGGTACTAAAACAAACAAAGGGAATACCCGGGGTACTCGTGTCGGTGAAATACGGTACTTAGTGTTTCTCAAAAAGTTCTTAGAGTAATAGTGCGACTAGTATTGGTATGTGCATGCATGCGGTTACGTTTGTCGTTTAAAATCGGCAACATAAAATTACCAATCAACGTCATGCATCAATTGTTATTTTATTTGATATTGACATACAAAAGTTAGTGTATATGTAAGCTATACAATAAACCGAGTTTTATTCGGAATTTTGAGTCGTTAAATTATAAGATAAAATGGCTGATGTTAATATTGTAAGTTGATCTTTATTTAATATCAATATATAACCTTCATACCTGCAATCGAATCAAATTTAGAACTATTTCCTAGATAAATCTCTGGTAGGTAAGAGTTTACTAGAATATTTACTCTCCTTCTCAAGATGTGATAAAGGTCTTACATTATTATGATAGATGGTTTCCCATATTTCAGACCTATCATTTAGCATGTTATAAATATCCAAAGGAATACTCAAATTACGTTATTTATAAAGTTCCATCCATTTAGTACGCCATTGATTAAATTGTTCTCGAGTTTTAGGATTTTTCACTTTACGTGTTGTTAAACCTAGAAATTTTCCATTATCAGAGGTACCATCGCTTGGCAAACTATTCCAGGCAAGACGTGCATTTGATGGTTCCTTTTCTCTAGAATTTCTCCAAGCTCTTTGTATAATCCTTGCTTTTCCGATATCAGTTTTCGGTTTATCACATTCTTTATCCCAATGATTGATCATCAAATCGCTAGGTACGAGACGATCAACATATCTTCGTCTGGTATAATGGAATGATTTCTTTGGTTGTACGTCATCAATTTTTATGAGTTTCCAGCAACCAAACAAATAGCCATATGGCTTTTATGAATTCTTGGTCTATAATAATTGAAATTATCAAATTTACCTTTACCAAATGATGCGAATAAACATAGCCGATGATATACACTAAATTTCCAGCATTTAATGAATTTTGTAAAGGCACTCTGACTCGTATTGCCCATTGAACCGGTGTTTCATTCTGTTTTATGATAGATAGAGTATCAAATGATCTCTCATTATCGAAGAGTTCGTCGTATCGTTTTCCATCAAAAGTAAAATAATTTCCAATATATGACACAACATATTTCATATCATATCCAGGGCAAATGTTAAAGGGTTTGGGTAATGTTTTATCTTTCTTATCGAGAAAAGTTGTAACATCAAAACCAGACATATTTATTGATTATATTTAGCGGTTTTAGCGCTTTTGACCTATTAGATTTGGTATGATACATATGATTAAAACCAGATTCATTTTAGTGCAGATGCTCCCATAGGGCCTGGGTTATTGGATAAGTTATGTATATTCGTCATATTTTGCGAGCGATATATTATGATCTATTTTTGACACGTGAAATCTATTTCGGGCGTGTAGATTTACATTTTGGATAATCGTTGCATAATATATTTCGGGATTTATTTTATTAATTGGCCATGCCAGCTCCGCTGATAACAATGATCGAGAATTTTTCTTGGCAAAAGTGATCGGCGTTCCGAAAAATAATCACGATTGATATATTATCAACTCGTGATATCAATGGTGTAATATGTACGTACTATGTTGCACGCTACGCAATAAAAATACAAAGCCCAAGTATGGGTAGACTTTATTGATCAAAAAACTGCCAAACTTTGAGACCATGTCTACTCAGTCACGGTCGAGTTACATCACTATCACGTGACACAAAATTTTACCTAGAATTCCTTTTTTCTTATATATTCGAAAAAAGATTATGGTTATCCCATATATAACAAAATATCTGACTTCGAGTATTTATTGCGAGAAGGTGGGATTATATTAAAAATCATTAATATGCGTAGATTGAACGGTCCGATTTTGTATAAGTTTCGCCGGTATTTAAATCATAATAATATCCTTCTTCATCATCGTCAAAAAATCCACAGAACCCTCCTTCATCGTTATCATATTCGTTATTATTGAAGAACTCTTCATCATTTTCATTATCTCTAGTTGCGTTAGCATCCTCACTCCGTGAGTCATCTTCGTTGTTATCGAAGGGATCTTCAAAATCGTATTCATAGTTGGAATCTTCAGATGCGATAGCATCCCCACTCCGCGAGTTATCGGACGCACTTACCTGTATCTTGACTTCTGATGGATCAGAATCTCGATCAATCTCTTCACATATATCAACCTCCGGTAAAGATTTAACTTTACTTGTCGAATTAGAGGGAGTGGTTGTAATACTTACCTTGGTTTCTGGGGAACGGTTCTTGATCTATAATATTCTGAATTTGTACATCAGCCAATTTTGAAATTTCATTTGCACTATATGTAATTAGCTTAATTTTATCTATTCCGACTCCATTTTCTCCGAATAGCCATAAGAAGTTTTCTAGCTCTAAAAGTTTTTTTACGCAAGTTATCTTGAGTGATATTAGGAAGAAACGGTTTCATTTCTTTATAAATCATTGTTCTTGCTGTTTTGTCTTTGATCTTACCATCAGTTGTAATAACATGAATCCTGTTTTCGAATTCAAGGGAATAATAATACCAGTTTAAAATTTCCTGTTGTCGAGATTTGATTACCGTTTTAAATAAATTAGATAGATGTTGAGCCCTACCTTTATTATTTAATATATTAATCTCAGTAGAGATAGTATTATCTATTGCGGAATCAATGAGACTTTGTCCCTCAGTAGATAAATACAATTCTTCTATTAACCCTGCTCTACAATTTGATTTTTATCAGTCTCACCATCTTGCTCCAATTCAGATATTTCAGTTTGATTATTTCTCGAACTAATGGTTTTTGTTTTACATGATAAATTTGAAACTTGATCGTTTCCCGAGGGAACGGTTTTCATATCACATGACAAATTTGAATTTTGATTATCATTCTCAGAGAAAGTGGTTTTTTTATCGTCTGATAATTCTTGGGTAGTTGTTTCTCGTTGAAGCTTCTTTTCCCGGTTCTTTTCTCTTATTTTCTCACTAACCGTTTCTTTATGTACGCTATCCAGGAAATCATTAATTTTCTTCTCTTCCGATGATGTAGTTTTTATAGTAATAGAAGACGTGGAGGATCGGCTATTCTTTTCCTGGTATGTACCAGAATCAGATGTTAGATCAGAGCTATTTTCTGAAGTAATACTAGAATTTGAAGTATTATTAGCGGAGTATCTACTGGAGATTGTGAAACTTCTTTTGTGGAAATACCTTTTTCTTTTTCTAATACAACGAGTCTGGTCTCAAGCTCTTTATTCTTTGCTCTAATTCCTCGACTCTAACATCGCGCTTTACATTTTCCTCAATAATTTGCTTCAACCTCGCATTCTCAGCCTCAATCTCAGCAAATCTTAGTAGCTTTTCTCTAAGTTCAGGAATTTTAGTATTCTCTTTCCTAAGTTTGGCAATCTCAGTCAAGAGCTTGGCATTTAATTCCCTTAATGAATCGTTGGATTGCATGTTCGATGATAATTTTTTATATGCGATGAAATAATTCAAAAGTTCGTTAGCTAGATAAAAACGAGGTAATATCTTGATCGGAATTAAATTACAAGATTCGCAAAGTGAAATGGCGTTTTCATACTAATGTCTGTGGTTCTTCGCTTGTCTACACTACTAATACACATTATCCCACTCCTGGTTCGGTTTCATTGTCCCAATCATTCAATATACTGGATAAAACAAAATGTCCTATCAGTTATAGTAAAGCCCGCCGAAATTATGTTGTTTGCATTCCGAGGTGCTAGTAGGTTTGTACGAAAAATGACATTTGCTTGCGAGCCCAACGCTTCTTTTAAACTGCACAGGCGTTACTATAGTACTGCGCATTTATTTTTTAAAAATGCCGTGTCGCAAAAATCGTGACGTTAGTGAAGATCACCTGTTTTTAGCTAGAATATGTATAAATTTGGTAAGTTTTCATACGTTATAGTATTATTTTTTGAAACAGATACGCAAACAGAAACTGGACTTATATACAAAATGAATGGAAAGAAATGTCCATTAAGCAGTCCTCTAGGCGGTCCTTTAACAAGGTCTTTATTTGTACTTACTGAAAAAACTGTTTTAAATCCCGTTTTAACTCTCGATTTACGCGTTTGCAGGTATATCACCGATATCATGGCATTTTGTTTTGTGGTGGGTACCAAAGTTAAGAGCACCTTTCACGTTGAAGGCCAGGCAGGAATGAGTATTTCAAAACTAAGGGAAGTAATCTATGAGAAAAATAAGAACGATTTCAAAAATTTTGATGCCAACAAGTTGAACCTATGGAAGGTGGATATTCCTGGCGATGCAGAAAACGATAAATTCGTTAAACTGAGAACACTTGAAAACAGATCTGATAATGAAGATACTATTATACAAGAGCTTGAAGGACAAGAGTTGACTCCATTTGATGATTTTGGTGACATTTTTGCGTATAGTGACTTGAAGAACATCCGAATTATCGTACAACCACCTGTCACTACCGATAAGTGTCTTACCTCTCGAACAAGAAATTTGCGGTTATCTCATTCTTTTATTCGATCAGAAAAAAGAAAACCAGATGATTCGGATGAGGAAAATGAAAGCAAAAGCAGTAAAAAAATGAAACTAAAAGGTGTATATATACTATATATTTCATTTTGATGCTAAACATCAATCGTCTTAACATACATAATTATTTGTTAGATATTTCCCGTAAAATCATGATGGACATAAAGAAACTTGATGGGCATCCTGCTGTTTACTCAAACCCTCAAAACTTCCTTTCATTACCATTCCCATATCCTGGATCAAAAAAACCAATAGATAGGTTTTCTATTAATGAAGATGGTTTTTTCACCTTCATGGGAAGAAAGGAATTCAGCAATGTTCTAGACAAAATCAACGAATTTAAAGCAAATACTGGTTATATGGAAATGTTTATTTATGGCACAGTCGGATATGGAAAGTCACATATTCTCACAGCAATAGCTTGTTTTCTTCTCCGTAGCGGAAGGCGTGTCGTGTATCTCCCCGATTGTCGCAAACTGGCTGTAAGCCCAGTAAACTACATCAAATCAGCCTTGTTTCTCACCTATGTGGATGATGATGCGAAAATAAGCGAAATTAATGCCTGTGAAAATTTTGACCAAATCATAGAATTTTGTGAATCATTAGACAAAACGCTATATTTTATCGTAGATCAAACGAATGCTCTGGATGATTGTAGTAATACTGGAATTAACCTAGAAAAAAAGATTCAAGTTAAAGAAAACCTCGATAAAATGTGTGCAGATCATTTTTATATTAAGAGTTCTTCAGCAAACAACCAATCAGTATTACACCTTAGGCAAAAGCAGACTAATGAAAAGAAAATTGAACTTTATGGAGGGTTCGATAAGGTAAGGCTAAGATGCCCTACGTTGTGAATTTTTTGTGTATTAATGTAATGTTTAATTTAGGAGGAGATGGAAGAGTGGTGGAAGAAGCATAATTCCGTTTTACCAACAATGAATAATCAACAGAAGGATCAAATTGAAGACATCACCGGCAATATTCCGCTCTTCTTAAACATTTTGCTGGAATCTGATTGCAAGAATTTTGAAGATGTATTGGGCTACTTAAATCAACAATTAACATCAAAGATACAAGAGTCGATGACGAACTTTTCAGACACTATACCAGAAGGAAGACAGGAATTGTATGTATTTTTAGTTTGCTTCGTGATTGGTAAACTGTATGAAAACTGACTTTTCTATTTACACAGTCACGTCGACTTGATGTCATCGTTCCTGACAAAAGGATATCCTCCAAGTGGCTACGGAGTTAATGATTTTGATCATCGCTTCTTCTACGTTGAAAATGGATTCTGTCATTATGTCTGTGGGACGGCACGGGATTGCATGGCGAATTATCTCTATGAAAAGGGCAAAATGGAAGTATTTACAGATATAAAGTGGATCAGTTGCATAGAGAAATTCAAAAATAACCCATCGGTTAAAGAATTTTTTGTGGAGAAGGCGTGTATCGCTAGTATTTTTAAGAATGGAATCATGGCGAACGGTGTAAATTTTAAGCCTGATGATATGGAATTTTTCTATGATGAAAAACAAATCCGATTTTCTTCGAATGAAGGGAAATGTATGCTTTACTTACCGCGTTGTTGGAACCAAGAGGCGATTGATGGATTACTGATTTCGCAAACAAATAATAAGTTGTATGTTGCCCCAGTACAGATTACCCTTGATAAGAGTAGTCATTCAGATTTTGAGGGAAAATTTTTCTCCAGTATTTGGCCAAATTTAAACCCAAACTTATCAGGCGAATTAGAGATAATATTTATATGGATTACAAGCGAAAGTAATACAGACGTGCCAGTGGAAAGTAAGTCTAGAAAAACACGGAATAAATCTCATGAAATTAATCCCGATTACATTAAGATAGTAATGGGATTTGGAAATGTCAACAGAAATATTGATCGATATCTATCTTAGTTTTAGAGAAAAATTTGGTCCACATTGATGAAACAATAAAAAAGTTTTTATTTGCGTTGAAATTTGCAAATTTTTTTATAATTGTTTTCAAAATCAATTTATAAAATGAATGAGAGTAGCGAGTTTCAATCACGGGCGTTAGGTTCGGAATTATGCCTATCGTCTTGCTTAGCGAAACGTGAAAATACAACGTGGCGCCAACGAGGAAGTACAAAAAGATTTTCTCAATGAACATCAATAGGCCGGCGAAATCCAAAAATGGAGCGATTTCCGAAACAGACATCTATAAGTGGAAATTGGTCTATTAGCATATATACACGAAGTGTCATAGCATATAAACAAATAAACAAACCTTAATCGTTAGAAATTAGACATTATTTCGAGTGTATGAAGCTTTTTATTTATCGTGGGTAAGATTTATTAAAATTTGTTAAATGTTTTATTCCCCCAAATCGTTAATTATTATAACGAAGGAGTAAAGGGGTCTCAGATATTTTTTCTCCGCCTTTTTATATAAAAAATCACAGATCAGAATTTATTTATAGACTTGGACGGGAAAGGACTAGAAATTACCAGAACTTTTTATTGCAAAGCAGGCCTATAGGGACGACTCAGGTACGTAAGTCCCATTTTTTCAAATAAGAGTCATAGGTAACCCCCACGCTTTACGTGTTAATTTGATTAATAACGTCTTATATTTATTACTATTATAAATAATCCTCGATTTTAATGATTTGGTACCAAAGCTACTCCATAACAATATGTCAAGCAAAAAAAGAATATCTCTCTCTGCCAAACGATGCTAACATTTCAGCAAATGATTATGTTCACGTTGAAGATGACAATCCTTACTGATGAAGATGTAATAGAACAGCCAGTACATCAATCGACACAGTTTTAAAATTCTTGTATCAACAAGGACCAGAATTTGGCGAGGTTGTCGAAGAAGTAAAGATTTTGCTAGTCATTCAGAAAAATCTTAAACAAGTTAGTCTTCACCATTTTGAGGATAAAATGATCGAACAGTAGTTGGGAGTTCTTTTATAGTGGTTGGGAATTGGTAAACATAATAAAGGCCATTGTTGCACATGTGTATTGTATGTCACATGACTTTTGCTATAGTGAATGCTGGCTATAGTCCTCAGACCGGAGCGGTTCACTATAAACAGCTTCAACTGTACTGAGTAAATCCAATTATGAGTTTGTTGCGGTCCTTAAGCAAAGTTTGCGTATCTTCTAAATTGACTGCCATCGTTATCACAATTATGTGTCGGAAGTGAGTATATTCTGGCAAACTCACTCACAAATTTTGGTGTACATGTCTCTTCACTTCCAAGCAATATAAGCACTATCGCTGCAGAATGATTACTTTTTTGACCAGCGTAATAAACAGAGTCAATTTGACTTGGTTTTATGTCGGTGATGTTCGAGAGAGGAATCCATACAAGCTGTAGACTATTCGGCAAGGCGAGTTGAATCAAGCTGTCAATAGCTTTATGAGCTTCCGAAACTAATGACATCTAAGATCTTTCAATATTAATATCGCTTCATTTCGTATTTCTACAACTCGGTTTTTTGTGCTACATATACATCGTACGATTACGTAAACACATGAATCGCGATTACATTGTTACGTTCGCTTGTCAATATGTAAACCTTATACACCTTATACTTGGTGTTTCTCAAAAAGTAGGGCTATTTTCTTATAGTAATAGTGCAGGCATTGCGTTGCAGTACTAGTATTGGTATGTGTATACATGCGGTTACGTTTGTCGTTTAAAATCGGCAAACATAAAATTACTAATCAACGTCATGCATCAATTGTTATTTTATTTGATATTGACATACAAAAGTTAATGTATATGTAAGCTATACAATAAACCGAGTTTTATTCGGAACTTTGAGTCGCTAAATTATAAGATAAAATGGCCGATGTTAATATTGTAAGTTGACCTTCATTTAATATCAATATATAACCTTCATACCTGCAATCGAATCAAATTCAGAACTATTTCCTGGATAAATCTCCGGTAGGTAAGAGTTTACTAGAATATTTACTTTCCTTCTCAAGATGTGATAAAGGTCTTACATTATTATGATAGATGGTTTCCCATATTTCAGACCTATCATTTAGCATGTCAATAATGAAACTGTAGAGTTTATATGCATCTGGACGCTTGTCAGGATCAGCATCCCAACACATCTCAGCAAGTTTCTTATATCCCTCCGGTACAGAATCAGGCATCAGTGGACGTAGTCCATTCACAATATCGCACAATAAATCTTTGTCAAATAGCCTATCTCTAAAAGGTGATTCACCGGTGGCCATCAAATACATAACAATGCCAAAAGAATATACATCTGACTTTTTGGTAAATTTGCGAGTACTGAAGACTTCTGGCGCAGTAAAGGATAAAACGCCTTGAACAGTTGATTTTGACTCGCATGAATCCACTGATTGTGAGAGGCCAAAATTGCATATATATGCAGAAGTATCACTTAATATACGATGGTCTTCTTCTTGCTGAAACTGCCTGTTATTCATAACTATATTTCCCCCATGAAGATCACAATGTAAAATTACTGCATCATGGATAGAATACAGACAATGTGCAATATCCCTTAAATATTGTAACTTCATCCTCCATGTCAGCTTGTTAAAGTGTTTTTCCAAATAAGACAAGAGGCTACCACAATTAGCATAATCCATAACAATTACATATGCTTTTGTTTCTGGGTTTTGTATGACTCCCTTGATACCAGGAAAATACAATTCATCAAAAAAGCCACCAAGACACTTGACATGATTTATAAACTATTAGAGTGAAAACAAATACAATCAGATTAAATATAAACTTTGAGTCAATATCAATGATTGTTTACCTCAGTAATAAATAGTTCTGGCATTTCATCATAACTTTTAAAATGCTTGAGTGCAACAATTTCTGGAACATCATGTATGCCTTTATATCGGGCAGTATAGACTGTTCCATAACTATCAGAGCTGATCTCCTCAATTATGTGAAAGTCAGCATACTGCAAATACTTCCTTATATATGCATGAGCTTTTAAAAATTTGTCAATTACTGCACCCACTTCATGATAGAACACCAAATAATATTTTTGTGTGGATGGCTCTTGAGTTATACCAATAACCCAAATATTATCTGGCATTAATATGTTTGGGTATTCCTTGGTTAACTATTGAATAAACAAACAGTCATTACACTTAATTTTATTGTTGCACTTGTTTACACATAATGATTACCTGATAAAAGTCAAATGATTGAGCATCCTTTCCATCAACTATTGGTTTGAGTGACACTTTCATCCATCTTTTTGTTGTTTCATTTAAGCACTCTGCTATATGTGTGCATCCATGTTTTAATAGTGCCATCTCTTGTACATCTCTCAATATAGAGTATTTAATCCATTGGATATAGGCATCATCTCTTCTTTCCATGTTATCCCATGATTTCATAATAAATGCATCCAAAGACTTGTTACCAGTTGTCCAATCAACAGGTCTTGGTGCTTTACATTCAAAACAAAATGCACTTATTCTAGCATTAAATGTTACTGGCTCTGTGCATACCAGACATAATCCTTCCTTATATTGATCTTTTATTAGATAATACTTCAGTTTACATGTATCATATGTAAATCCAATGGTAACCCAAACATTATTGGTAAGAATGTCTGGATGTTTGTTGCACAACTAGTGAAAATGATACATTTTTTAATCAATAATTATCCAACAATTCAATACCATGATGCATAATTGAATAGTTTACCTTGTCATAATATGAATCATCTGTCTCATCTGTTATCTCAAGCGGAATCAAGCTCATAGAAGGATAATAACCTCCTATACCATTAGAAGTAGTAGGTAATTGTATATTACATCCCACAAAATCCGATGGAATCCATTCTAAATAGGGTTCATTTGCTGAATTTGTTTGCCTTTGTGATTTCTTAATAAATTCGTCGAGGAGCTTATTGTTGCTGGTCCATCCATCAGATAATTGTTTACGACCGCAAATACACCACACAGGACTACATCGAAGAATTCCACATGCGGAGCAGAATCCATATCGAGAATAACAGTGGTAAAACTTTCTATTAGCAACCATATAATATTTATCCTCGTGTTTGGTAAACCCCTCTATCATTCTATTGCGCTCCTTAAGCCATTTCGCATATCGTTTAAATCGACCAACATCGGCAGTATACTTTTGTGTCGGAAGCGAGTATATTCTGGCAAACTCACTCACAAATGTTGGTGTACATGTCTCTTCACTTCCAATTAATAAAAGCATTAAAGAAGTACGAAATTCCTTGCGAAAGGCATAATAAACATTGTCGACTTGGGCCGATTCTATGATACTAATCTTTGAATAAGGAATCCATACAGCTTTTCCTTCATATTCACGTTCTAAGAAGGCTTCTAAAACTAACGACATCGTTATGAAGTGAAGTAAAAAGATTTCAATGATACAATCTCGCAGAGTACTACATATTGTGTTACATTGTATAATCGGGGATGACAATATTTTTTTTCTAATCTTTCGCCGTGTGACATGTCAGATGCATAACATATCGATTATCATTATGCGTGCTCCTTACGCTGCACTTACTTGCAATGGTACCCGCTTTGAGGTAATGAAGTTTTTATGTGATCAAAGGCGGTCCGAGTATTGTGCCGGGAAGCATTTCGAAGTGATTCGTATGTAACGTCTAATTAGTATCAAAATAATTAGTTGGTACCTGTTGAAAAGACGTCAACTTTTTTTTGTCGCCATTGAGAAGTCGTGTAACATGTAACATGCATGGTGCTATACCGTTTATAACAATACAGTACAATACAGCAGTATATTCTTACATTCTCTTTTTCGAAATTTGAACCATTGCGCTGTTTTGACCTTATTAATTATCTTGCTACTATTATTGATTACCGTTGTTAGCGGCCATTGTCCATAGTTGTTGTTCGCGGTCATAGTCCGTTGTTGCTGTCAACTAGTCTGTATTAATACATGGTTGATGACTATCAATAAGCTCTCCACCTCTCAGATCTGATGCAAGCTAATGAGTTTCTGATTAGTATTCCAACCGATTAGAAAAATCGAGAGACGTTTAGGGAAATAAAATACTGAAGAAATGGATGGTAGCATTGTTAGTATCAGTAATGTGTTAACAGGTCCAGAAAATGTATGCATATTTTTGTTAATGGAAAAAGTAGTCAACAATCAATAAGCCAACATTTATGCTTATTCTTATTACTATACATACCTCTTGCGTTATAGATTGCTACTCTCTCTAATTGTACGCTCTTTCTAAATGCACATTATTGCCTAGTCACATGGAGAGATTTATCTGTATTGTTACAGTCCATTCTGGGAACGTTCTAATGGGCCATTTCTCAAGATGGGGCAATTGAGAAAAATTTTTTATCACGGTAACGCATACACCCGTTTTTAACATGTTTACTTAAGTAAAGAAGAGGTGAAGTAAAGCACATATTTTCTGAAAAGTGTTTTTAGAGTAAGACCAAATACGTCGGTTTTAGTTTGACGTGCTAACATGTTCATCAATGAGATGCGCAATTATTATCAAAAGTACACCTCTATTTTCAATAGACATGCCTTATTCTTGCCAGTATTACTTAGTGAGATGCAAGTTACTCTCGTATTTACTGGCTAAACCGATCGAATGATATCTATGTCAACCAATAAAATTGTAAGATCCGCGCGTATGGTCTACCTGAAAATTGTAGAAGAATAATCGTATGGTCAACAATCATAAATCGTTCGTCAATCGTAAGATCACAACTGTGTTTGACAAAACATTCGTTAAATCGTATGTTTAAATCATACGATTCGTAGCCCCGCTTTCGTAATGATAGCTGTAATTGTAGATCAAATTGTTCTACCAGAAAATGTACCTGTAAACGAGCGAACAGTTTTTGTAGCTCAAACTGGACGGCACTTGTGATAATAACATAATAGTCGAAAGCATTTTGTTATAAAAACAAATAATTTATATTCTATTGATATTATACTAATTGTCTGTATGACTGCAACAAAACAGCAGCCATTGTATTACTCATCATCTATAAGGCAAAGAAGTCCAAGGACTCAACATTCATTATTTTTTTTTATCTATATATAGATAGATTACTCAATTCATTAGGTTTCCATCATTCTTTTGATGTTTGTGGCGTAAAAAACCAATTCATTTTTCCATACACCCCATTTGCGTCACCTAATAATATTTTAACCCTGAAAATTTGTTGGCGCAGCGAACTTAAACAGCTTTTGGGATATATGAGATTTATATGGCAGATAACGCAGAGCCCGCTAGAAAACATACAGACGACGACCTGACACAATCGGGCGATTCAACTGATGAGAAGCTCGTGGAAGGTATTATGACACTACTAACACCAATAGTTCATGAAATGGATACATCCATCGTGTCAGTCAAGTCAAGCCAGGAGGCGCTAAGCAAGGAAATAGAACGTTTGTTGGCAGGTGATGATCTCAACCATATGTTAACTGTGCCTTTTGGGCTTTAATTTTTCGTAATAATCACCGTCTAACATTACTGTTGCGTGACGTCAGAACTTCAATTATTTGCAGAGGCTTCAGAACCTTCGCCTATACAGCCTTCAGTTCAGAAACTAATGAATGCACGAAAGCGTCTCACAACAACCAATCAAACTCTCAAGATTGTTAGCGACCGCATCAAAAAGATATACGCACAAGTCGACAAGGAAAATTCCACGATCTAACGATGTCCGATGTCATTAAAAACGATAATTATGTAATTTATACTTTAAAATAAATAAATATTATATTTGTATAATAATATTTGCCCCGATACATTAAATTAAATTTTATTCTTCAAGTCACATTGAGATAAATTACGGTAATTTCCCTTAAGTAATACTAAGACTTTTCCGTACTCTCTGAAGAAGCTTTCAAAATGTTAAATTTTTCAATCCTTTCCTGCACTTCCCGTAATTTATCCTCCAACATCATGTCGTGCTCGCGCTTAACCCTTTCTTCCTCTGCCAGCTCGAGCCTGGCCGCTTCAATCATCTTTTTCTGGGTTTTTGCTCGCTTACGCTTGATATACTCTTTCTTTGACTTTGTAGAGAAAACAGGTTGAGTAGCAGGCTCAGGAAATTTCCGTCGTGTTGTAGGCGGTGATGTCTCCTGAGATGAAGGTTCTTGCGGCGACAGCGTTGGAGAAGGTGATGGAGGCGATTCTGAGGAAGGCGGTCCATTATAGGACCGTGTTATTAGATCGATGCGCTTCTTTCGGTCCCATATTATTTCGCTTGTTGCCATTGATTTAAAGTAACGGATACGATGGAACTGTACGTTGAAAGATGCACAACATGAATTATTTAGTCAACGAAAAAAACCTTTGCCAAAGGTATGCCGTGAGAATGTCACCCACCGGAATCTCGTCATCTTCGAATGCCTCTCTTGTCTTCTCCATGATTCCCAAAAATCTCTTCCAATCATCAATGACCGGTGCAGTTCGCAATATTGGCAATCAATAAAGTATAAACACAAACCACTTGTCAACTTTTCGCCGAAATAAAGGCTATGCTCTCTCGTTGTCGTCCGCAGCATGCCAACACTCGTCAAGAAAGAAAAGACAGCAAACTCACATCTTCATATCCGATGATGATATCGTCGGCATCAGGGAAACACTCTTTGTCCCAAATGAAACGCTTGTAGGTTTTGTGGGCAGGTTTTAGTCCTTGCATTTTTTTTATTTACTATTCGCAATCAAAAGCGAAAGAAATGAGAGAGTTGAATGCGCAGACGATCAAGAATGCAATGTATGCATAACGGTAACCCAATCATATCTAGTCATATTTACACGATTTTTTGATCGACAAAAAGGCAATGCTTGATCAAAAACACAATGCTCTAAAGCGCCCGCGCTATCAGCCTGACGAAGCATCGTCTGCTTTGAATAATGGAGACAGCTCTAAACATCAAAGAGTTTCCTTACTTCTCTACGAAACCTTCTTCGCGTCTTGTAGCGATTCTCTCACAATCTCTCATGACACGAAAAACACCATTACGACGTCATGGGAATCCAGCGAACGAGATAGATTCTTCACTGCACTTGCTCGCTATGGAAAATATAACCCGGTGGAGATTTCGAAATGCGTTGGCACCAAGAGTGTTTCTCAAATTCTTATATATATTGATCAATTAGAGAAAGATCTTAGATTGGAGACATTGAAGGAGAGATTCGAAAAGGAAAATGAAACTGGAACAAAAAGAGACGGAAAGATCAAGAGTCGGCGCCGTCTATACTATAATATCCCGGCAGCTAGAGAAATGAGCGACGATTGGGTCGAAATGGAGGAGCGACTAGGTTTGGAGCTTGCTGCGTTAGACGATACAAAGACAAGAGAACACGATTCGGAAATGGCATTACATGAAATGGCATCATTGAATGATTCTATTCTGAATCTGGAGAATGTATCATTGTTTGCAAAAAGTATTGTTCGAGAGGATGACTGCATGGTGGCCAGACAAACACTCGCACGGTTACATACAGAATTGAAACATTGGGTTTCGTTGATCGTAAGAGATATAATCGTTCTAAGACGTTTAAGAAACACGTCCAGTGAGATCGAGGTTTGTAATTGGGGAGTGCTCCCCGTGTACAAAGACAAAAACATCATTATTCATTGAGATTTCGGTTTCTTTACTGAGCAACATCGAATATCTACGTTTTTAGGTTACTGGATTGGAAATAGAATACGCACTAAAACTAAGAGGTCGCATTGTGAAGAAATTGTTTGACTGCTCTAATCAAAAAGCAAACTCTCCTCCCGGGTTATTTACTCCTACGCAAACGACCCAACAACCTCATACCGCATCTATCTCTTCTCAATCAAATACTCAATCAACTACTCTTAGACAATTCTCCAACAATAATGCGCGCTCTCCGCCATCATCTCCACACCCCTCCTCCGACTCTGATTCTTCATCTTTCTCTAGCCCCGATAGCTATACGTCCGAAGACGAAGCTCTTGAGAAAAAGGAGCGCGAGTTGGATGCTAAATACGAAAGACACTTGCGTGATCTTCTCGCGCCAAGAGACCAGACCATCAATCTTACAAATGCTATAGCAAAGTTCGAAAAGAGACTGGTGGAGTGCTACCAAGAGGACGAGCTGGATGAAAGTTGGAACAAATTTGGGTAACGAGAGTAGGGTAGGCAAACGGAAGGAGGGTGTGTGTGTGTATATATATAATGTATAGAATATGTCAAATAGCAATGCTTTTCTTTTAACTGTAAAAATTCTTAATTAATGTAATGCAGTGCCGTACGAAGAGAATATATACTTTATACAAAAAAAAAGCGATTTATTCCAAAAATTTTTACATGTTGAAAAAGTACAGTGACGTTTGTGAGTCTATTCGTGTTTTTACATTATTGGGATGTGATGTTATTCATTATCGTAGACATATAAATTCTATTTCCAACCAAACCACCTTCCTGGCTGCGTCTTCTCATATGGCAGTGTATTTGGGAAATACGCTTTCAAAAAGTCGGTCACACTTCTCTTCATGATCGCTACCGTTCTGGAAACAGACGTTTCCAGGTTGTCATTCAAGCAAAAAACGGCCGGTTTCTCACGTCTGATTGCATTAAGATTTATTTTGGTGACGTATATGCCGCCGAGCCCGTAAAATTTGAATGGTGTTTGACCGAGGACGTAATTGTAGCGGGCGAGCGTGTGGATTATGTGAGTACGGAGTGATCGGAGCTTGGTGGAGGGGGTGGTGGTGGGAGTGGGGGGAGAGTCGACGCCTGCATCTTGGGTTGAGTTGGTTTCCGTGGATCCAGAAGATTCCTGTGTGTCGTCATGTCCCGTCGAATTATTTTCCAAAGATCCCTGTGAGTCATCTCCTGCCGGTTTGCTTTCCTCGAGTTTGGAAGATTCCTGCGAGTCATAATCCGTCAAGTTGTTTTCCGCAGACTTTTGTCCCAAGTCATGTTCTGTTGTAGCTTTACTAGGTTCCTCTTTCTCTACTGTGCCGTTCACATCTCTTTTAGATTTTTTCGCCTTCCATCCCAGATTATCCACCCATTCAATATAATCAGTGTCCATTTCAACGTTACCCTTGGGAAGGAATGCTTTGACTCCTTTCTTACCCGATAACCCAACTAGCATATGTATGATGCAATCTCCACACTCTAGCTTCTCGTACGCGACACTCATGAACACATTTTCGACACTGACATTCTTCACTTTTCGTTTCATGAAATCTCTCCCAAAACAATACTCTAGAGATATTTCGCAAACTCTCGCCTCGGGTTTCACCTTTTCCGGATCATAGAATTCGGGACGAGAAGATGCTGGGGACTTTATCTGATAAGGAAATCCATCAGACGCCGACCAAACGTACGTTGTATTTCGGGGTTGTGGTAAAGATGCCTCGGCAATGACAGACTTGTAAGATGATATTGTTTTGCGTTTTGCTCCGGGAGCGCGACCGTCTTTTAGATAATCCAGAATAGCAGAGCGCTCGGACCAACTGTAGCTGTTGTCGTGGTTGACATCCATCTTGTAAAAGAAAAACGCTTTCAACAGGGATTCTCTGTGTTTCTCTATGATATAGTGCGTAAACATGAATGTAGTATGAATTTCTGGTGCTTCGCCACGGAATCTGTGAGATGCAGTGGCGTCGAATTCATCCTTCCATTGCGAGACGATCTCGCGGAGGATCGATGGAGAAAGAATGTGTGTGGAATGGGAGACGTATACACGATTACGTCTGCCGAATCTTTGACCTTGTGAAAAAGTACAAGCAAAGCGTTAGTTGGTGGTTGCAAAAGAATGGAATATTGGCATTCTGGTGTGATATGCCTTTTGTTATCATAAGCCTCTTACAATATACTTACTCAATAGGTAATTGGTATGCTCCAAAGCGAACCATTCACCGGGATCTTTGCCACCCCATTTCCGTGGAAATGGTGCCACAGTTAAATGTTGTTCCGTATGGAAGACAAAGCCAAAGAGTGGGGTGTAAAAGTCTGTGGGCAACAATGGTGCTCCAAGGAAGAGATCATCGTTAAAGTAAAGAAACTGTTTGATGAAAAAAATAAATTTTTTTAAATATTGTTTTAGTGGATTCGAATAAAATACCGACAATGCTTTCCACAACCAAACTCACCTGCTCAGATAGACCATTTATATTGACAATCTGAGATTCAATTGCCAAGGAATTAAACGTAGGGAGCAAATCATTCTTGCCGACAAACACTTGACTATGATGTACCATTTGTACCCTATTCTTTCCCGTCTCTTTGCTTTTCCAGGTCGTGTTCAACCATTGAGGAACCTGTCCTTCACGGTGATCGCCTTGCTCATAATCAGCACTCACAACGACTATATTACCAACATATTTTCCAAACATGCTCTCTACAGAACGAACCGAATATCGTAGTTCATCATAGTCACGATAATGTTTGGCTTCCTTGGACGAGGTTCTTCGCCATGTTGAATATTTGGCCATGAGATCTAGATGTCTTGGATCGCTACCATTTACCCAACTATATACAACGTCGAGCGTCGAAATCGAGAGCGGGGGGCCTCTGAATATTCCAAGGGCTGTCCAGGTTTCTTGCCAAGTTGTGTTTTTTGGATCATGACTGGTTGGACTTGAATCTATGACTACGGGAGCGATGCTGGTGGAGAATGTAAACTCGTTAGAAACTGGGCTAACGGGGCTGTATTCTCCTACGTTTGCATTGTATTGGTAAGTAAACCATATGATCGATAAAAAAGTAGCCAATAGAATAGTGCGTCGAGGTATAGTGATTCCTGACGAAATCATCTCTTGCAACTTGCAATGTCCTTTATTGATCAAAAAGTTCTATCGATCTGTTATAATTATTGCCTACACCGAGTTGTCGCTATATATACCGCGCGTATATCATCTGTTTCTTCGCTTTAAAAGAGTGTTATGTCTCTCACGCCCGTGACGATAAAATGAAATGACCGATTGAATAATTATGTAGGCCAGCAGAGTATTCTTTTTTTTTCTTTTTCTCTCTTTTTGTTGCTGTGAGTGTGGTATATATATACAGTATACATATGTATATATACATGTATATATATATGCATGATATTTTATCCGTCAATGCAGTGAAAATGAAAGAAGTTTTATCAGCCTTGTATGACAGAAACTTTACTGAAACTGATAAGCGATAAATGGGAATTACGATTGTGATCGCATATAAGTATATTATTTAGTAACATGAGCTCTAAATAGGATCGTAGACTCCACTCCCATCCATATACTCTTTCTATCTCCCCTTGTTGATTTTATCTTTGTGAGTCCCACATCGTTTGCCAAGACTTTCGGTAATATCAACATTGCTGTTAATGGTAAGATCGGCGAAGATCGCCCGTGGAAGTGGTTTACGCGGATTAGTTATGAAACGAAAGGAAAGACATTCTCTGTGATGTGTGATATAGTAGCAACAGTAGCAACAGTAGCAACAATATGACGAGCAGAACAAAACGGGTTAAACTCGGTTTTTGTTAAGCAACGCTATTTCTATTTTTATTTCTTTCAAATAAGCTTTTTTTTTTCCCTTCCGTTTCATAGTGTGTTACATCTTACTGCGGCGCGTCCATTATCTTCCCAAAAGAAGCCGCCAAAACTGAAATCTTTTTATTACCACAGTATCGACAATAAGCATATAATAATAACAACAAAGACTTATGATGTTTTATCTTCACTGTGGATGAATGATGTACCCTTCATAAAATAAATTAAGATGTTTGATGATGGTCGAACAAATCAACCAGCCACAACTACAATGAATTGTGAAACTGTGCCGCTTATTTCTTTGATCTGCTTTAATAGGCGTAGCTGGCTTGTATTGGCTTGTGTTGGCTTGTATTGTGGAACCATTGCCATCCAAAATTCTACCTCCGATGCGTCTTACCTAATCTGTATTATCCGATCAACTAGTGACAATCGCCACTGTCATGAATCGTAAGGCAATTGTATGCATCATCACATTACCTTTCAGAATTGTTACAAGATACTTTATAAAAAATTTTCGAATTTACCGAACGATATGTAATGCAGGATCAGCATAGAGAGCTTCCTACACACGTTTATGCATAACTGTTGTTATCATTGATAGCCATATTAATATGTGTCATGATTAACAAAAAACTTAGCTGCGGGTTATATGAAAATGCCAAGAGTATTTCTAACCCAGATTATTTAAAGTCGGTCATGTGAGAGTGTTATACAATGCAATGCAATGACAATTTATACAACTAAAATATTGATATACGCAATAGTTCTTTGATATAATCACATCATTCGTCGAGACTGCCAAGAACTCTAATAGCAATTTTACGTCATCTGCATTTGTTTATTTTTAACAATATATTGCACTTGCATTCATTTCAAGTACGTTGTATTTGTATCGGGGCGTTATCTGCATTGACACAGAACGGGCTATTGAATGTTTGTGAAAGTGAATAACAAGCTTTACCCGAATTGCGTATCAGATTGTGACTGCCGGCAATTAGCGGATAGTAACTATTAATGGTTTACTGAGTTTTATTTTTAACAATTGATGCCTTTTCAATTAGCAATGCCGCATGGCAGTGAAAGATGGGCGCTTTATTTGTGTCCCAGCCAAATAATGCGTCCTTTATTCTCGCACTGCAAAAATTGTCGATCATTCGTAAAACACGAATTCATACCAATTATACAGCCCATAATGTGTAGTACAATGTTAGTAGTTTGCTATTATGTTATCACAAACTGTGTTTCCGTACAGATCAGATAACCAACATATTTTCAAAAATTGTGCATCCACACATGGTTAGGTTGCGCGTGGCTGGCAACAATACCAATGCTAATACTAGCGGGTATGTTGCACCGTACACTCGGGTGCATGAAATCTCTTGGCATTTCTGTGTCGCCTTATTATTTCACTATTTTAGGAAATCCTGATAGTGAGGCATTCAGTGTAACATTGAATACTCGAAGTCTACACTTTACAATACAATTCTTATTGGTAATATTACAAAAGTAGACATCCAAAAACAGTCTATAGTATTAGTATAGTAATAACCAATGTTCGACTCATTTTCCAATATTATCTCACAAGATATTTATCAACAGTACGTAGTATTAGTTATTCTGACAAAAAATGCTTAGAATTAAAAAGTCCTCATTATCATGTCTACAACGTTTGAACGTAAGAATAGATTAAGAGTTGTGAAACAATATGTCTTGTTCTTAACGAAATAGCCTTTAAGTTGGACATATTGAGAAGAAGACGCATCAATATGTGATTGTTGCTCATCGATATGACGTGCGTGTGGTGTGTATCATAGTTTGCAATTACTGACCCATGACCCAGAAATCCATTAAAGAAAAGACTAGTTACTTAATTTTGAACAATAGAAACATTCAATAATATTAATTTCTTTGCAGAAGCCACTGTACAATCGTTCTTTCTTGCAACTATTATGTCTTGATAGCAAAGTTTTTTGTAAAGCCCTTCTTTTTTGGTACTCAAAGAATGTTTTGGCATACTAATACTTGGAAATTGGGCTTGCAAAGTTGAAAATTTTTTATCTTTGAAAGTTTTGTATATCAACAGGAATGTCTGGTTGATCGTTCAAGATGGTGCCTGACAGAGATGCAATTTATAGAAATTTTTCTCTTTTCTAAAACCAGTTATGAGTGTTCTGCAAAGCCTAAGGTCAGGTCTGACTTGCGATAAAATACTTAGCTATTGGTAAATCAGTGAATTAATAGAATTTGCAATAACGACCAAGCATTAAAACAAACGGTCATAGCATGACTCAAGTATTGATGAATTGGTATACAAATTTTCTCTGCCAGTACATTTAACTTGGACTGTACAGGTACGTTGGTAATTGTCACGCGTAATAAAGACTACAATGGACTATACCCATTTTAAAACTATCTATCGCTGTTCAAGTATTATGATCGGATATTTTCCAAGCGTGCGTAGCAACCAACAGCTGGCCAACGCAAGTACCAAATTTTAGTTGACAAAACAATAATACTAATGGGCGAACGGGGGTTCTATGGTAGTCGCCATTGAAATCAACGGATCGAGGACCAAATAGATACCCGAACAGATATGACGACAATAATCATAATGTGGGTTTATAATAATTGCTTACTATTACGGATAAAACTCTAACAAAATATCTTTTATTTCTTTCCATACTGCTCAACATCGAATCCGGCCTTCTCCCATTTCTGATAGCCGCCTTCCAAACTGAATATATTCTCCTTCTTATATCCTAGCCTAATCAAACTCTCGGCTGCCATTAAACTTCTCACTCCACCTGCGCAATACAGAACTACCTTCTTATCCTTTTTGTCGTTCAACTCATCAACACTTCCAGCCAATCGCTCCACGTCTCTTTCCAATACACCTCTGGGAATAGTAATCGCGCCTGGAATTACGCCTTTCACTTGCTCGTCTTTCTCACGAACATCAATTATTATGGGTTTGTCCGGTGAAGAAAGAGATGAGTTTAACTCGGACGTGGTGATTTCTGAAATTGGATATGTGGAGCGAACGCTCTGGGCTAGGTCCAGAAAGCGGGACAAGATCGGTGAAGACTTTTATATAAAATTATTGTTATCAGAAGAGAGTCAACAGGAGAGAGGAAACGCTATTTAGCCAGATTGGCCAGTGAATCATATAAGCGATTCCTTCAAGTTTTTTACCTGAACAAAATGCCTTTTCTGATATGCTTGTCGGACGTTCTGTCGAAAGGCCTGAGACTATTCAGACGAATCGTTATAATCAATTCATTCCCATAGTATAACTGCAAGTCAATTATGCAATCGTCTACGTACCCTGATTGCTCCGAACATTGTTCGATTAGTAGTAGGAAAACTTGATCCGTGAGAAGAAGCTAAAAATTAGTCTTATAAATTTGATCACATGATTGACAACTTTTCCGCATGGCATAGATTACACAAATTTAGTGTTAGTCATGCTTTACCCAATTAAAGCTTTCGTTCATAAGACTATGTCGATGATTAATGCTATGATCATCAGCGAGAAAGTTATTGTACGTAGGATGAAAATGGTGCTAAAACGACCACGGTGTTTTTAAAATATCACCGTACATCACGCAGTGTGCAGGTTGTGATTGTCGCCAACGTCCACCCATTCGTACCTGATTCATAAATTAAGTGTAATACTCCGATAAGAAAATCTTCCCTGTCAATCGGGAGCTACCTACACATTATCATGGCCATGTGTGTTTTATTTCACGTGCCATAAAATTCATGGTTGTCTTATGAGTTTAATAATAAAATTATAACTCAGCGAAAATAAGTTTGTTGTTACTGTGCTGTGTATGCTTTCTCAAGCGCTTTTCTGATGTATTAACAAATTGCATTATTCTAAAAAAATTTTACAATACACCAAATCCTTCATCTCGAACGAGGACAGGACGAATTAGGACAATAAATCGAGTGAGCTATAAGTTGTGCATTCCAGGTATTCATTCTTTTGACAGCAGTCCATATTAAGAGTGTTGTCGTATAATCTAACCAAATCAATAATATTTATTTTGACAAATTCGGTATATAATGACAAAATATAATTTATAACCAACGCAAATCCTCATAGTATACGCTCTGAAAATTTTGATATGAACGGAGCGATTCTTGGCATATATAGTTAGCACACTTGTGTTTGGCAAGTTTTATTTGCGCTGTTAAACTTGCATCGTTACGGGGCGATATGAGCGTGCGTTCATCACTCGCATAATACCATCGATAAGTAGTGGAATGAACTAAGGTTTTAGTTCTAGCAGGGGTGTCAGAATTTTTCTTGATTTCGAGCAGGCGTGGGATCCGCTTTTTATTGCATCTCCAGGATTCTTGTCTGCATTCTAGTCATGAAAGTGGCTATCGCGTCATCAAGGTTTTAAATACCATTATCCAATGTCCAAATGAAAACGATTACGGTGCACAGTTGATAATGAAGCTTCAACGTACCGTCCAGTGGGCCGAGCTCGAATGTAATTACGCATTTATTCAGGAACGATTATCATAAACTCATTACTAGTTTCATAACTGGTTCTCAATATTTACTTGCAATAAATTATGTACTTTATATTTTTCCTACATAGTCAAATGATCAAAGACAGCTAATAGTAGACGTGCGCGATTTTATTTTGAAGAAACTTTGTTGACTCAACCATATTGACATGCATGGAAGCATATCATATTTAACTGGAAGAGGAGTAAATCCTTGAAACAAACTCGTATAAACGTAAATAACCCGTGAATTACAAGTTTGTTCAAAACAGAGGTTGATTCTCTAAATTATAAGAAATGGACAGCGTTAACATTGTAAATTGGCTCCTTTGTATCGACATGTAACCATACCTGCAGCTGAATCTATTTCTTGGTTTAGGTAATTCTCCCGTAGGTAAGAGCTTACTAGAGTATTTATTCTCCTTTTCGAGACGTGATAAGGGTATTACATTATTGTGATATATCGTATCCCAGACGCTGCTGTTAGAATTATGCACATTAAGCTCGTGAATATCTTTCCGAATTGTGTTTACATCCGGACGCTTATCAGGATCAGAATCACAACACTGCTCGGCAAGTTTCTTGTATTCTTCTGGTGCCGAGTCAGGCATTGTCGGTCGTAGTCCACCCATAATATCGCATACTAACTCTCTATTGAATTCTCTATCTCTAAAAGGTAGTTCACCAGTAGCAATCAAATACATGATAATACCAAAAGAATATATGTCTGATTGTTGAGTAAATTTGCGGGTATGAAAAACTTCCGGTGCAATAAAGGGTAACACGCCTCGAATGTTTGAATATGACTCGTGTGAATTGACTGATCGTGAGAGACCAAGATCGCAAATAAATGATACTATCTTACGCGTATTGTTATGCATAACTATGTTTCCGCCATGAAGATCACAATGCACAACTTCTCTAGAATGGATATCATTCAGATATATTGCAATATCATCCAAATGCTCCAATTTCATCCCCCACGTCAATTTGTTAATATTTTGATCCAAATAAGACAAAAGACTACCATTGTTAGCATATTGCATGACAATCATGTACTC